GAGATGGTGCTCCGAAGCAGAGCATTACGGCTAATTTTCTACAAATAAAAGAGAATTAAAGAAAGAGAGAGAGAGAGAGAGAAGACTTGCAGATCATTTTCGTAACCCATTGGTGATTGTTGCTAGTTTGCAATAGGTGCAGTAAGAGAGAGAAGTTATAGATGTATATATATGCAGTGAGAGAAAGAGAATGAGAAGGAGGAAAGGTGGTGGAGTTGTGGCGGAGTGGCAACGCCAATAGTGGGTTGGTGGAAGTGATAGGGACAACTAGGGTTAGGGTTTTTTTGAGGTTTTGAGTGTAAAGAGAATGAGGAGGAGAAATGTTAGAGATAAGGGTAATAAATGAATTGTATAAATTAAAAAATAAAACTATTATCATATGCCTTGGAAAGGGAAAAAGAAAATATAGTTGAAATGTAAATAAAATATATAAAATGTATCTACATTTCACCTATTATCATATGCCTTGGAAAGGGAAAAAGAAAATATAGTTGAAATGTAAATAAAATATATAAAATGTATCTACATTTCACCTATTATCATATGCCTTGGAAAGGGAAAAAGAAAATATAGTTGAAATGTAAATAAAATATATAAAATGTATCTACATTTCACCTATTATCATATGCCTTGGAAAGGGAAAAAGAAAATATAGTTGAAATGTAAATAAAATATATAAAATGTATCTACATTTCACCTATTATCATATGCCTTGGAAAGGGAAAAAGAAAATATAGTTGAAATGTAAATAAAATATATAAAATGTATCTACATTTCACCTATTATCATATGCCTTGGAAAGGGAAAAAGAAAATATAGTTGAAATGTAAATAAAATATATAAAATGTATCTACATTTCACCTATTATCATATGCCTTGGAAAGGGAAAAAGAAAATATAGTTGAAATGTAAATAAAATATATAAAATGTATCTACATTTCACCTATTATCATATGCCTTGGAAAGGGAAAAAGAAAATATAGTTGAAATGTAAATAAAATATATAAAATGTATCTACATTTCACCTATTATCATATGCCTTGGAAAGGGAAAAAGAAAATATAGTTGAAATGTAAATAAAATATATAAAATGTATCTACATTTCACCTATTATCATATGCCTTTTCCCTTTCCCTTTCCAAATCTCCTGCCAAATCCCCCAACCAAACACAATATAAATGAACAGACTACGTCAATCCCTCTTTGTTCACAGCCTCTTTGAAGAGAATATCTTTGATAGTGTAGTAGAAATTCAAAGATGCCAATCGGGGAAGATCTTCAATAAAGGAAGGATCGTTAGATTGAGATTTTCCTCTGACGAGATTGAACGGACTGATGTAATATTTTGACCCATTTAAAGACAGATGTATTAGAGATTTGGGATGTTTGAGATCGCTGAATTGAAAACGTTTCGAAACATAGATCCATTGGCTTTATAATTCTTGGAAGATCGATTGGTCCAAGTGATGTAGCTAAGGTAAGTGACGTCATTGAGGGTTAAGAGCTTGGTTTGGGTGTCGTCAGAGTTGGAGATATCGCACTAGATGTATTCGATGGGGGTGGTCGGTGTTCCACGGCGGACGAGGGCAGTGAGAGATGCCGTAGACTTTCCAAGGGCCACTCGGGGTGTTGGAGAGAGGAAGAATCTTGGCGAAGCTGCTATCGATGATGCCCGTGACATCGGTCATTAGGGTTATGCACTAGTACTTCAAAGGTGCATCGTTGTCTTCGAATTTCTTCAAGGGAGAAAAAAAAAAAAAAAAACAAAAACAAAATCAAAAACAAAAAAAGAAACAGAAAAAGGGAAAGTACATCTAAAAGAGAAGAAGTGAGAGACCAAATACGTATCATTAAAAGGTAAAGTTGGTATTTTTTTTGGAAGAGAGTTGGCCTAAAATAGGAGTAATTCTATTTCCACACACTAATTCTTCACAATTCACACATTTAATGAAAATTTTCATTAATACAATTTTATCCTAGAATAAAAATACCATAATACCCTCTTCTTCTTCTATTCGAACCCCAATTCTAAAACAGTACAATCATCCTCCATCGCCAGTGCCACCACTCTCCCATCACTTCTTTCCCTCTCCGCCTGTGATCATTTTCCGTCATGAACCATACACTCACAAATCTACCACCGCAAATCACTAAAGGTTGACTGGCGGCAACAACAGTAAAGGAGAAGTAGAAAAATGGGGAAAAAAATAAATAAATAAAAATTAAGCTCTGTTTAGTTCAATTTTAGAATATATTTTAAAATAAATAAATAAAACTTCTTGTTTTAATATGATTTTATCTTTTTAGGGGCAAAAAAAAAATTTATTTTTTGGCATTTATTTTTATGAAATTAATTATTTTTTTCCTCAGAAAAATTTCAAAAAAAAAAAATGATTCAAAAATCGAAACCAAACATAGCCTTAAGGTTTTAAAAATGAAAATGAAGATAATATTGGAATATAGAGATGTATACTGAGAATTTATATTTTTATAATATTTGTATTGAGAATGTGTTCATTAAGTGTGTGTACCAAGAGTAATTGGAAATAAAATTACCCTTGAAATAGCTCACTAAATGACAATATATGTTAAAATAGTGAATAAGACAAAACATCACATCCAATCCATAATCATTTCATTTTTTCTCTCATAACTATCAAATCAACTATTAAAAAAAGATCAACCATCTCTCCAAACATAATTATTTAGGCTAAAATAATTAAAAAATCAAATAGCAAACAAAAATAGCATACTTCCCAAACACGACTCCAATATAATTAAAATCGTGAGGTACCTTAACTAAAAAAAAAAAAATCCCTGGACCTTTACTACTTTTAGTGCTAAGGCTATATTTGGCATGAAGGTTTAAGTTTGGGTTGTGTTTGAGCTATTTTAGTTATAACAAGACAAAATAGACTTTTTAGCTTAATAAAACAAAATGTTACATCCAAATCATAATTATTTCATTTTTTTCTCTCACAAAAGTCATAAAAACCAAAAAGGTTAATCTAAACAAGGCTTCTTAACACCATGTTAAAAAAATCAAAAAGTCAAAAAATTAACCCACATTCCAAATTAAGGCTATTTAAAATATTTGAGTGTCATCCTCCTAATTTTGATTCTGCCTTCCACTAAGGTATTATTCCCCTTTTTTAAAATTTAAAATAAATATAATTGGATTGATTTTAAACTCATTTAATCTTTAAATTGTGTAGAATGATGAGTTCGAGATTAGTTGGACGCATTCATTTTAAAACATTATTAACTTAAATTTTGATAAAGAATATATATATATATATATATTTGTTTTATAGTAACTTAAATTTACCCTATCTAAAGAAAAAAATAAAATAAACCCTTAAATTTAAACATTTTAAAGGAAAATTGTTTGAAGTGTGTAACATATATACCTTTGGTTTAATATGTTTGTGGTCTTTGATTTGATTTATCATAGTGTTACATTATGTGATGTTTGGTTATAATTTTTTTTTTTTTTTTTCATAATTCAACTATATTTTGATTCAAGCAAGCAAACCTAAATTGATATAAAAAGAAAATTTTAGTGAAACCAAAATTATCAAAACTGAAACATACTTGATGTTGAAAACAAAAGAAATTATTCAAAAAGAAAGTTCTCAAATGAGTAGTTTTAAAATTCAAATACATCCTAATTTGAAAATCCAAATACATATCAGTAGAAAATATCGAACTTAAGACGAAGTGCAACATATGAATGATCAAATTCTTCGTCTCTTCTCTGAACTGAAACCAGGCTCTCATGGTAAACAATAGCCTGAGAAGCCACAGTTCGAAGATCCTTCATCTCACGGGTAATAGGGTCTACCAAGTACAAATGCCCGTCCTCAACTTGGATGAGGAACTCACCTTTGTTCCAAAAGCTAAGCGGAATTGCTCCTTCAAAAGGTCCAGCTCTTAATTCTCTTGTCCAACGTTCGTCTTTCAATACCCAAATGTTGAAAACGTTTGGTGCCACGTAATGTGTTGGATAAGATTGTATCCAAGCAAGAATTCTCTTGTCCAACGTTCTTTCAATACCCAAATGTTGAAAACGTTTGGTGCCACGTAATGTGTTGGATAAGATTGTATCCAAGCAAGAGAGCCATTGTAGACTCCAAAATAATGTCCGACAAGATTAGTTCCTGGATGAGGACAACCTAGCTCTGGTATCCCTTTGAACGGCACCGGTTCATCCTGTTCCAATATATTTTGAAACACCTCGTAGCCCATATGAAATGAGAGTTTCGTAGCATCATGATTTTTGTTACATGCACTCCAGTAGTAAACTCCATCCATGTAAGTGTAGAACTTAGAAATGGAAGAAACACTACATTCTGGAAAAAAAACCCTTGAAATCTCTCCAAGAATCATCATGCAATGAATATATAGCAATGTGTTTAGGGTAACTTGATGGATGAATATCATTATCAAGGCCGGAACCCCGGTTGTACATCCTAATTGAAACCACTTTATAATCACCAGTGAAAGGATCCATCCCGAACCCAAAAGCATTTCTCTCGAGTTCCATTCTTGGAGGAATGGAGTTGGGGAATGTTTGTGTCGTGTTAATATAATATTGTTAATTTGTTAATAATATAGCTGTCTAGCTTTCTTGATTGATAATTGTATAGCTGGCTTTCTTTCTGCTTTCGGCCCATAACGTGCACTTTTGCATTCAACTTTAGACCAAGATATTCAAATACTGGAACCGTGAGGGATTTGTCACGACACACAGCAAAGGTATATTTTCTAGGAAAGTTATTTGCATCTTTGGGTTCAATGCCATGAACGAAGAGACAACCATTTTCCTTCTTGTTACTGTTTGTGAGATGCTTGGCTATGAAACTGGGATTTGTAATGAGAGAGGACCAAGATTTGGAGACACACTTAAATCGCAACAAAGATTTGACTGGTAATTTTACAAGAATCTCAACCATCACATCTTCATGTATGTAATGACTCACCATTTCTTTTGTTTTTTCTTTTTTCAGCAAAGATGTTTGGCCAAAGTTGGATCCCTCAATCAAAGCCAACGAAATTGCGCATCCATTTCTTCAAAACATAAATGAAAGTGCTTGGTTACAAGAATAATCTAGAATGAATGCAAAAATGATATATATATATATATATATATATTTTTTCCTTTTTAATTTTACAATACGCTAGCCATTACAAGTTCACAACCAATAGCAATAAAAATAATAGAAAACGTGGATCTAGAAAAGCCCAATCAATCTAATGTGAATAAAGATAAGCACACACCACCTTTACACCCATTTTAGACACTCATATCGTTGGTAGAGGTGACTAAAACGAGGAGAAATTACTTCTCCTCAGTGTATGAGTAAAAAAGTATTTTCAAGTGAATGATATTCTTTATAAATATTAATATGCAAAATCATAATATTTTTCTTGATTTTGTAATTAAGGTTTGAAGACCACACTAACAGATATTTTTCCCTTAAAACAAGGTACTAAATTATGGAAGCATTAAATTTTAAAGATCTTTTTTAATCATAAATGGAATGAATACATATAAATAATTTTTTCCCCTTTTATTTCCTTCTTAAATTCAAAATTTAAAATTTTAATCAGTGTGTTTGATTTTAATTTTCTGAATTCAATTTTCTGAAAATTGAGTTTTTTTGTTTTTTGTATTTTTTTCTTTTTAGTAAGCAATTTTTTTTATATTTTTGAATATATTATGAAAGAGTCAAGATAAGGTCATGACAGATTAAATGAGTACTTTCTCAAAGTTTAGTTTTCAATTTCATAGATTGTGCATTTGATCGTGAAGAACTATATAATCAGAAATGATTCGGTTGACATAGTGACTGTTGCCGTTGCTATTGCTATGTGCACAGCGAAATTTATATTGATGCAATTATCTATGTTACTTAGTGTTCCTAACCTTTACCTTTAATTGGACGAAGTAGTTACTCTCAGACTTGAACCTGTGTACTACACCTGACAGCCCAAACCTTTTGCCATTGCACCAAGCAATGTCCTCACCAAGCAATAGGTGATATCTTGCAAATCAAGTGATTAAAACCCAAGTTTGACTATCTCCAGCAACCAGTTACTGGTATAGCCTCAATTTAAATTGTGTTAAATTCAAAAGGTGCCAAGTTCTTGTGTGGTATATCATATATGGATACCTCGACTTGGGTACGAGTGTTGTGTACAGGTTTGTGTTTAAGTGTGCTGTCATATCATCTAATTGTCATGTCCAAGGGGATACCAAAATATGGCTTGATTTCATATTTCTTAAGTACTTTATTTATTTAGAGTAAAATTGTGTTTATAAACTAATGTAGAGTATTTTAGACATAAAATGAGAGTTTTATATTCACCCAAAAAAAAAAAATGATAGTTTTATGCAAAGTTATGAGGCACACTCAATACATAATGAGTGCATGTCCAATTAGACATAATTATGATTGCCATTTCTTTTTCTTCTTAGTTTAACCTTCCTTCTTGGAGGTTTATTATTTCTATGATTATTCTCTCCATATGGTGATTTTTATTTCTGCAAGTGTACCTCTTAGACTATTGAAATGAAACATTTGACCCGTGGATGGTGTGTTTCTTTCTTTATTTAGCCTACTTGAATGCCGTAGATCTGTTGATTAGATTTGTATCGACTATCCAATTGGGATAAATTGGCTTGAGTTGTTGATACGATATGAATTTTCATTTTAGTGAGTCTCAACAGTTTTTTTCTCCCAATCTATCTGTCATTTCCATTATTGTCAAATAGCGAACCGAACCATGAATTGTTATGCTACAATAGTGAATCATGAATCATAAAAGCACTTTGTTTAATATAATGTAATATAATTTATGAAAAAATAATATATTCTTATACATGTACATATACATATAAAAATACACACAATGTTTAAAATAAAATGAATATCAATATAACTAAATTATACATACATGTATATATAATTATGTTCATTAATATAATTAATTGATCTATTTATTTCTTGATAGAGGGGTGAAACTTCTTTTTGGTTGAAACTCGTATCAAAACGTATGAATCTAATCATGAATCACACAATTCTTACAGCAATGGTCCTTTCTGTTTAGAAGCCTTACATATTTGATATTATTACTTAAATTGATTTTTGTTGTTCCATTTACTTCTACGTATTCAGGTGGTGGATTTGGTTAGAAGAGCAGTGCCCCTTGCCCTGACACCTGAAGATGACCCCAGGAGGGATGAGCTAAAGAAGCTCCAGGAGAAGAAGGAAGAAATAGACATGCTGGCATATAAGCAGGTCCGGCACATCCTCTGGTCAGGGCTAGGGTTGGCTATCATGCAGGTCGGGCTCTTCTTTCGTCTTACATTCTGGGAATTCTCATGGGATGTTATGGAGCCAATTGCATTTTTCATCACCACCACCACTGGCTTAGACATAGGTTTTGCCTACTTCCTGTTTACTTCGAGAGACCCAACTTACCAATGATGAAGATGAGCACCAAGTCTAGACTGCTTAATTGTCAATTGCATTCAAACCATAACTTATTGATTCTAAATATATGTATATATTTTCTGTGGGGTCCTATCAGCTTGATCTTCAAGCACAGGCAAGGGCTCATAGGATTCTTAAAACCCATGAAATAATGTGAACTTTAATATTACATAGTCGTACAAGTAATACAGCATACAGTGAATCAGTTGTCAAGCATAGCAGTTAAATTTAATAATACTAACTAAGCAACTAATATCTCCATCAAAATTCAGAACAAAGCAAAATTCAACTAGCAATTGGAAACAATTTCTTTAAGAACAGAGACATTCAAACCATCAAAACATGTTACATAACCAAATCAATGGAAATTTTCATTGAAGAGCCATAAACACAACACAATTCAAAATACCTCATTAGCTCCTGTCTCTCTATGAATCCTTGTTGCTTGAGATCGTAAAGTTGAAATGAAACTGCAAGGGAGAAAAATTTAGGTTAATTGAATAGAAATCAAATCAAAATCAAAACCCTAGAAATCAAAATCAAAACTCTAGAAACCAAATCAAAATCAAAACCCTATAAATCAAAATCAAAACTCTAGAAATCAAATTGAAATCAAAGAGAGATGAGAGAGGAGAAACTGAATTAATCGAATAAGGGATGTAATCCAAGGCTCTCACCGAATAAATCCAAGGCTCGGAATTAGACTCAAATGCCAAGCTCGGAATCAATCGATTGGCAGTGGCTGGTGGTTGCCGCTTGTGGTGCTCGTGTGTTTGTGTGAGATGTCGATGGAGAGAAAGGAGAGAGAAGGAGAAGAGAGAGAGAGAGAGAGAGAGAGAGAGACGTATATACAAAAGCTAACAGATTGCTAATCTGTTCAAAAAAAAAACCTGTTATTTTAAATCAGATTGGTATAATAAGGCCAAGTTTGACATCCTTCAAAAAAATTTAAAAAGTCAAAAAGTCACTATCTTATTTAACTTACATCATTTTATTTAAGTCACATCACCTCTCTAACACATCACTTCAAACCCAACCAAAATCCAACCCATATTTCATAAAAAGTCAAAAAGTGTACTTATTTAGTCTTTCCAAACTTGGCCTAAATCTGTTAAAAAAAATAAATGACAATATTAATAAAAACAAATTTGAGAAACAAAGAATGTGTAATTTTAACAATATTAATAAATAAATAAAATTTGAAGTAGAAAATTTTCGGAAAAAAGATTTAAGTATAAGTTTATAAATTATTTTTGTATTAAAAAAATCTAGATTATAACTATAATATCTAGTTTGTTGGAAAAAAATAAAAAATTGTCATATCTACTACAAATTTATAAATATTTAAGAATGTTTAGAATTTTTATTATTATTATTTATAATTAAAATATAATTTTTCTAGAGAATGAGACGATTTGGTACAAAAACAAGTATGGATCTAGAATGAAAGGGGGTGTGGCATAAGTTTTTAAATATATATATATATATATATATTTACTTTTTAAATTCAAATAATTTACATATACTTTAGAAGGAAAATTAGTTTTTAATTTTCTAAAAATATCACTAAATTCAAAAACGTATAAAATTTAATATTTTACGACATGAAATGTATGTTGTCTTAAGTGCAAATATTTTATAACATATTTTTATATGCCCTGAAAATGTACATTTCTTACGACATACTTTTACATGCCACAAAAAAATCAAATTGTATTTATTTATTTTTTTGTACAAGTTTTCATGACATTCATTAGCATATCATGTAAAGTTATAATATTTTATAACATAAAATGTATATCGTCTTAAATATATGAATTAACGACTTACATGGCATGTATTGTAACGCCTCCAAAATTTCTCCAACATAATCTAGGTACATTAACTAACATTTATTATAGAATAATAGTAATTCCCAAATCATCATAACATTGATCACTAAAGATTGTACAAAACAGCCCCACATGCGAATTATACATTCAATGGTATGAAATACATGAATCTATAGCATATAGAACGTCAAATCGAAGAATAAATAAAATGCTCTCAAGGGGCTTATAAGTTCCAAGGCTTAAGCCCAATTACACAAAAGATGGTTTTTTGAACCCATACATATATAGCCCTTGGCTTACAAAAAAAAAATATGGTCATAACAAAATAGAGCCTCGTGCTCTCAATACATACATCCACGCCCTAGTTTGGCGGATTCACCACATCTTTTCTTGCACCAAAATCCCCTAGGGGTGAGCATAAAGCCCAGTAAAGAAATTCTTAACAAAGTATATACATTTTATACAAGCATCATAAAAAGGAATGCATATGCCATGCTATGCTTTTGACATGAAAATCACATTATTGTCTTTTGAAAATCATTTATGCTCAATGATATCTTGAAATCTCAACAATGCATAAACTATCAATTTAATTCAAGGGAGTAGTAAATACGACTTAAGTAATCCCTAGGTTGGTGTCTGCAAGTAGGTATAACTAGCACTACTAATAACCCACTTTACCGTTTGCTAACCGGAAGGGAAGTGGTACCTCCTCCGTGCGTGTTTTCGGTCTTTCACGCCGAACACTCAAGCCAACTTAATCAATTCCATCTACACCTCCTATCCAAACTTACCAACATATTTATCCAAAACATTTCGATAGTTTCATTTCACCACATTTCTTTCCTAATGGAAATGTTTTTCAAATCTTAACTCAAAATTTGTAACTATGCAATAATAGAAATGTCAATGCAATATACATATCAAGGCAAAATAATAATCCTCCATCGACAATATTTCCCACACAATTTATCAAATTCGATCACAAATTCTCATTTTCCTTTCCAATGCGATTTCATTAATTATCATGTATGAATATATATGTTTATATATATATATATATATATATCCAAGTGTAGCAACAATTCCACATTTCATGCGTTCTCAACAATTTACCATTTCATAACTACATATGTATATATGCATTTAACAATAAATTCAAACAAGATCTCCAAATCCTCGTACATCAACAAAGTTTCCATATTTGCAAACAACAATGTGAAATTTCCACTCACTCCTTCATTTAACACAAGAAAATTTCATAGATTCTCAACATTTTCCAAAACCCCCAATTTCTAGGTTTTTCACCCAAAACTAGACATTTCTTCATTTCTTAGTAAAACCTCACCAAAAACATCATTCTTAAGCCAATGTGATTCAACTATTCAAGAAAATCTTTAAAAAGAAACAAAAGATGGATTCCTTTTACAAAACTACTAACTTCTAGAGCCAAAAACCATTTTCAGAACAATTAAAGAGGAAATCTCGAAATTAACCAAAACTTGCAAAAATATATATATATAATTCTAAGAAAAATCCCTACCTCAAGTTCTTAGAGAGAAAAGAGATAAAATCCTCAAAAATCAACGGTGACGAATCCCGATCTTCACCGCACACAATGTAGCTCTTGAGGAGCTCTTCAACTTTGATGAAGGGACAAAGGGAAAAACTCTAATGGATCAAGGGAAATCAAAGTTTTGATCTTGTTTGGTGTAGGAAATGTAGAGAGAATGAGGAGAAAAGGCTTTTTAGAGAGAGAGTGATATACAAACAATGACATACACACAGCCCAAGGAAAGAAGAAAAAGCTGATTTTCAGACTCAATAGAGTCCCGCACATACGGTACCCATGCTTGCACGTGCGGAGCGTCCTCCCACACGTGTGGCCCCTCTCCCGCACGTGCGGCCCAAGGCCCTACACATGTGGCCCTCGTCCTCCAATTCAGAATTTCCTCGGTTCAATCCCTGGCACTCCGGACCGAACCCGCACCCTCCAAAACAAGTGAACTCAACACCGGAGTAAACAAGAACTAAAATTAAAAAAAAAAAATCCTCCGAACACAACAAACCCAATGAAAACGATGAGTGAAGGGACACACGACGTAGCAGGTCATCACATGTTTGCTATTTTGACAAAACATTAACGGCTTGAAAAAAAATGTCGTAGAATGTACTAACTACGACATGCATTTAATGTATGCCGTAAACATGATGCTGTAAATAGTTAGTTTTGTTGTATTGTTTGTAGTGTCGGTACATGGCACTTTATTAACTACTAATTTAGTGCATTTGCTATAGCCTCAAAATAATTGAGTCACTAGTGCATATTGCTTATAAGCAGATTATGTCTGTCTTATTTCTCGCTTTCCGCTTGGATTTTTTTAATTTTATTTTTTATTTTTGGGAAATTGTTGTCTACTTGATTTAGGATAATGCCATCTGTTTTTATAGTGTCCTTTTTAATAAGAATAGCTTTGTTTTGTGTAGATTCGTATGTTGGATTGTTTAACAAGAATAGCTTTGCTTAAGGCATCACCTGAAGATTCTAAGGAGCCTCAAACCGCTCGCATCCTTCTTTACAAGTTATTCTATGATCAAACTAATCAAGGAATGACTCAGTTCCTTTTGAACCAGATCAAATCATTTGATACTCATAAACAAGCCAAAAGGTTTTGTTCTTGCGCTTCAGCACCTTAAAATGTTTATTCTCAATTTGTGATTATGAATTTTGTGTCAAGTTATTTGCACTTATGGAACTTCATATAATAGAACTTGTGGCTTTGCTTTGGAGGTAATTTATTCTGTTATTATCTCTTTTGAAGTTGATAATGTTAACGTTGGCCTAAATTAAAAGTTCATGTATTCTCTATTTTTATCTTTGTTGATCTTTGAACATGTGTGCTGGATTTAGCTTAGTTTGCATGACATATTGCTTCCCTCCAAATTGTTCATTGGTCTCTTCTCATTGGTGCTAAATTAAAATCTTACAAATATTGTTATGATGAATTTTTTTTTTTGGTATCGTGTTTGAGTGATAAATCATTGCTTGCATTATTTTCTTCAGTTATGCTTAGCTTTATGGCTGACTGCATTGGCATTACATTCTATGTAATGATATTCATGTGCAAAGTGGATAAGCATCCTTTTTATACCTAGTCTTTATTGTAGGCTGTGCAATGATTTTATTAAATTTTGTTTTTGCATTGAGTAATCAGATTTAGATATTACATGGCTGGTGGACAATGTGTAAAGCGATTCCGGTTTTGACCCGTTATCTATGGTATTCTAGATTCGAGTTTAATGCTTTCGTATTGTTGTTCATATCTTGTGTCCCTTGTCTCCCCTTTATTTCTAGTTATAGGGTTGTGATTGTGCGTTTGGAACAGGTTAGTTGCTTTTTTTTTAAAAAAAAACCTGTGTTGCCCAAATTTTGGCCTCTCCGCTCGAGCGGGCATTCTCACGCTCGAGCGGGCTTCACAATTTTTTCTTCTCTGCCCAAGCGGCCATTCTCGCGCTTGAACGAGAATCTACAACTCTCAGCATTTTTTTTTTTGCAGGTCTGCAGATGCTGGAAGAATGCATTAGACGCTCGAGCGTCCAGTTTCATGCCCGAGCGGGAGTTTGTGTCTGACGCTCGAGCGAGGCTTTCCACGCTCGAGCGGACTGCGTGAATATCAGTTCGAGAAGATGAAGTTTTGAGTGACTTTTTCATATCTCTCTCTCTCTCTCTCTCTCAAACTCTCCAAAAAGCTTATTCTTGAGCTTCTCTCTCTACATTTCACATTCTCTCTTAGATTTCATCTAGATCCATCCTCCTTTTCACCCTAGTGCCTTTGAGAAAAAGGTAGAGCTCGTCAAGATCTACATTGTGATTCGAATAGAAGTAGGTTTCAGCATTCTTGAAGTTTCTCTCTTGTTGGGTTCATCTTCTTCTTTTGAGGTAGGGATTCTTTATACACTTTCATATAATATTTAGCTTAGATATTGTCTCTTGTGCAACAATGGAGTGATTTGGGGATG